CTGCTTCAGTTTTGATCCTGTCTCCCTCTTCATCTCTGTAGAATGTCACTGGTTTATAAATGTTCATTCATTTTTGTTTTTACTTTCTTACAATTGCTTTTTGTATTTTTTTCTGATCCCTTACACTCCTGCTATGAGTGAAACTACCCAGTATTTTACTTTTTCTTTCTGGCTTATTTCACAAAGCATGATCCCTTCCAGCTCCATCCATGTTGCTGCAAAAGACATGAGTTTATCTTTTTTTTGATCGCTGAGTAATATTCCGTTGTGTATATATATACCACATCTTCGTGATCCGATCATCTATTTTTGGGCATTTGGGTTGATTCCATGTCTTCTTCCCTATTGTACATAGAGCAGCAATAAATATAGGGGTGCAAATGTCATTTTGATAATGTTTTTGTGTCCTTTGGATAGAAAACTAGGAGTGGGGTTGCTGGGTCATATGGAAGCTCCATTTTTAGCAGTTTGAGGAACCTCCAAACAGCTTTCCTTAGTAGTTGGATCAGTTGAATTCCCACCAGCAGTGTAGGAGAGTTTCTTTTATTCACATCCTTTCCTTGCCAACATTTGTTGTTGCTAGTTTTTTTATTTTATTTTTATTTTTATTTTTTTTTAATATGTACCATTCTCACTGATGTCACATGGTATCTCATTGTGGTTTTAAGGTTTTAATTTGCATTTCCTTTATTATAAGTGATCTTGAACAGTTTTTCGTATGCTTGTTGGCCATCTGCATTTTCTTTTTGGAGAAGTGTCTTTTCAGATCATGTGCTCATTTTTTGATAGGTTTGGTCACTTTAGTTTTGTTGAGTTTTGTCAGCTCTTTGTATATCTTTGTGATCAGCCCTTTATCATTAGTATTGTATGCCAAAATTTTCTCCCAATCATTATGGTTTCTCTTTGTTTTGTGTAATGTTTCTTTTGCTGTACAGAAGATCTTGAACTTGGTGTAACCCCAGTTGCTTATCCTTTCCTTCACTACCCTTGCTTTGGGTTATGTATCTTTAATGATGTTAGTGAGGTGTATGTCATGTAGTTTTTCACCAGTATTTTTTTCTAGCTATTTTATGGTTTTGGGTCTTATGTCTAGTTCTTTAATCCATTTTGAGTTTTGTGTATGTAATCTAGCTTCATTTTTTTTTAAACATGTAGCAGCCTAGTTTTCCCAGCACCATTTGTTAAACAAACTTTCTTTGTTCCATTACATATCCTTTGCTCCATTGTCAAAGATTAGCTGTCCATAAAACTGTGGGGTTTATATCTGGGTTTTCTATTCGAATCCATTGGTCTGTATATCTGTTCTTGTTCCAGTACCATGTGGTTTTGATTATTATGGCCTTGTAGTTTAGCTTGAAGTCTGGGCATCTGATACCTCCATTCTTTTGTTTTAGTCAGGAGAGTTTTAGCAGTTGGAGGTGTTTTGTTTTGGTTTGTTTTTGTTCTATTTCTTTGAATTACATCATTGAGATTTTTATTGGAACTCTGTATATAGCTTTTGGTAGAATGACCATTTTAATGATGTTAATTCTTGTGATCCATGATCCATAAGCAGGGATGTCTTTCCATTTCTTTGTGTCTTTTTGTATTCTTTTAACAGTGTTTTATAATTTTCTTTGTATAAGTCTTTTACCTCTTGTGTTAGATTTATTCCCAAGTATTTGATTTTTTTGTTTGTTTCTGTTGTAAATGGGATGGATTTTCTGATTTCCATGTCTTCTGAATGGTTGTTTGTGTGTAGGAAGACTACTAAGTTTTGTGTGTTGATTTTATATCCTGCTACCTTGCTAAACTGGTTAATTGTTTTGATTAGTTTTTCTGTGGAGTTTTTAGGGTTTTCCATTTATATTATCATATTGTCTGCAAATAAAAATAGTTTTACTTCTTCTTTCTCTATTTAGATTCCTTGTACATCTTTTTTCTGTCTTATTGTTCTTGCTAGGACTTCCAGTATTATGTTGAAGAGCAGTGGTGATAGTGGACATTCTTGTCTTGTTCCTAATTTTAAAGGAAAAGCTTTCATCTTTTCTCCACTGTGGATAATACTGGCTGTAGGTTTGTCATCTATGGCTTTTATCATGTTGAGGTGTGTTCCTTCTATTCCAAGGATTTTCAAGGAGCTTCAACATAAATGGATGTTAAACTTTGTTGAATGCCTTCTCTCATGTATTGATATGATTATATAGTTTTTATTTTTCTATTGGTTGGTGTGACAGATGTTAACTGATTTTCAGATGTTGAATCATCCTTCACCCCTGGAATAAAACCCACTTGTGCATTGTTGGATTTTGTTGGCTAATATTTTATTGGGAATTTTTACATCAATGTTCACTAGGGAGATTGGTCTGATGTTTTCTTTTTTTGTGTTACCTTTGTTAGGTTTTGGTATTAGTGTGATGTTGACATCGTAGAATTTATTTGGTAGTACTCATTCTTTCTCAATTTTTTGAATGAGTTTATGCAGAATAGGTACTAATTCATTTCTGAATGTTTGGTAAGATTTATACCCTTGGGGAGGGTTTTAATTACTGCTTCAATTTCACTGTAATTGGATTGCTCAGTTTTCCTATTTCTTCTTTATCTAGCTTTGGGTGATTGTACAATTGTAGGAATTTTTCCATCTCTTCTAGATTGTTGAATTTGTTTGCATATAGCTGTTCATAATATTCTTTGATTATTCTTTTTGTTTTTGCTGTGTCTGTTGTGATTTTTCCTTTTTCATTTATGATCTGGTTCATGTGTGCTTTCTCTTCTTTTTTCTTTGTGAGCCTGTTCAAGGTTTGTTTGTTTTGTTTACTTTTTCAAAGAACCAACTTTTGGTTTCATTGATTTTTTTTTTGTGTGGCTTGTACTTAATTTTTCATAACTGTCCTATGAAATAAGAATAATGTTCCCACCTTCTTCCATCTTTGGGTAAGAGATGTTGGCTAAGAGGTAAAGTTAAGTTGCCTTCTCAGAATTTGTATGGTAGTAAATATTTAATTTGCATTCAGATCCAAGTTTGTTGACACCAGATTTTAGAAAATAAACTTCTCAAGTATAAATATAAAGATGATATATATACTACAAAATTTATGATATTTTATGTTTGACTGAATGTGGGTGGTCAGGGAAAAAGCAACATTAACCAAACTGTACAGATTTAAAGCATGAATAATTGGACAGATGTCTTACCTAACAAATTCCAATTCTGCCTTATTTCAAATGCCAGGTGGTTCTTTAAACTCCTTTAGAGTATAATTTTCAAAAATTAACTCTCTTTGAAAATGAAATAACATGTTCAAAGATCTTATTCAATTTTTTTGACTAATGAGAGAGCCCATTAAAGTCAGTTCAAATGAGAATTTGAGGAGGTGTAAGTATTTACAAGCAAATTTATAAAGGAATGTTAGGCTTAGATTACTAGGTTAAATATAAACCTGATTAATGACCAATATGGCAATAAGCCACAACCTTTGGGACTGTCTTTTTTGCTAGACAGAAATTATTTGTGTCATCCCCAGACAAAACCTACAGGTTAACCCCTGACCTTGCCAAGTTGTAACTGTAGCCCAGTCAATAGGAAACCAAAGGTTAAGAACTCAGCACTACCCTGAAAGAACATACAGTAATTTCTGTTTCCTGTGTGTACATTCTTGGCAAAGTTTCTGTTTACAAAGTTGCCCCAGACATTCCATTCTCCTTATCCCTCTGGTAATGTGAATCATTCTTCCATATAGTCCCTTAGCTCTCTGACATGGTGACCATGGTGTTACAGTTAGGTAATTGCAAGCATCATTTGGGGAGTGTCTTGACCACAAAATGCTTTCAGAAGGAGGCCAGGGTATATTTTTCCTGGACTTTCTTTTTTTTTTTTTTTTTTTTTAAGATTTATTTATTTATTCGTAAAGAACTGGGATACAGGCCAGAGATGCGGAGGGTGAGAGGATTCACCAGAGACAGAGTGGGGAGCAGAACAGGAAGATGGATGAAGTATACTGCTGAGGGGAGCAGCGGGCGGGTCAGAAAAGGTCTGCCACACCATGTGGTCACCTCCAGGGCAGGCGGGAATCGAACTCATGCAGAAGTGGCTTAAGCTTCTTAGTTCAGTGCTTAACCCGCTGCGCCACCAGGGAGGGCCCCTTTCCTGGACTTTCTTAGGGTCCCTGAACTTGTTTGAAAGTTAAGCTGACAAAGACAGGTCAACAGGGAAAAAAGCAAATTTAATGTAAGTTTTATATGATACAGGAATCTTTGTACGGAAATGAAGACCCAAAAAACAGACCTGAGTATTTTTTATGCAAGCTTTTAAGTGAGTGGAAAGTGCATAGACATGTGATAGGTTAAGTGTTGTGAAGACGGCATCCCATCCTAACCTACACTTTGTGTTTTCATCACCGCAGCAGGCCTGTGAGACATTTGTTGTGCACACTCAGCAGCTGAGTAGACAGTCTCCTAGAACTGGGTTCCTTCTGGTTTGAGGTCCATAGTTTGTTAGTGATGGAACCAGGATGTGTTAACGTCTGGGCTTTCCTGTGTCTGTTTTGTTTTTAACTGTGTCAGACTGAGTGAAAAGAACCTTTTCTTCCCAAAAGATTATATATTCTAGATATTCTCAGTAATATCTCACTTTTCTGTGGGTCTGTGTATCTCACATGCCTAAAATACTGTAGATTCATAGTCATTGATCTGTATCCTGATGTAGGTAAGAAATGAAATAGACTGAAGTATACTTCATTCTCAATGTCTGGCAGTTTTACTTTAATTGCTATATGCTAAAGAAGTGGCTGTGAAGATAACCTAAAATCATGTAGAGATGTAAAAGAGACTGTGAATGGAAGGGGGGGCAGAGAACTAGGTTGAAATACTGGGGCTTTGGTGGGGGGCATGGTATAATAGCATTTATTTGTAGACATGTGAAGCTGTCCCCCTAAAGCTGTATAAGCAGTGTTTTAAACCAATGAATAAACATATTTTTAAAATTATTAATCTCATTTCTTGCTTTTTTCCATATCCGACAGATTTCCAGCACAAGATAACTGTGCAGGCCTCTCCCAACTTGGACAAAAGGAGGAGTCTGAACAGCAGCAGCTCCAGCCCACCCAGCAGCCCCACAGTGATCCCCCGACTCCGAGCTATACAGTGTAAGCTCTGTCCCCAGCACAGGGGCCTCTGTGCTATTTCTGTCATTATTTGACATGGATTATTCAACTTAGACTGACACATTTTCCTACGGGGTTGTAGCTGAGCATATCATATATAGTAGGTGTCATCACTATTTGGAAAACAAAATATGGTGTCTTTCTTAGGTGTTTCTTAGTCTAATGTTTTTATGTGTACTTCAGATGATTTGGCTTTATGCAAGTGGTGATTTGACCAGGCCACATGGTAGAAAGTATAATAATACATCTCACGATGTTTTGCTAGATTATATTACTAGATATTCTCAGTAATATCTCACTTTTCTGTGGGTCTGTGTATCTCACATGCCTAAAATACTATACATCTCGCGATGTTTTGCTAAACACTTCTCTGTAAAATTGATGTCATTCTAGCAGCAGCATATTTGTGAATATTTTTAAAAATAAAATCAAGAATTAAAGGTTTCTTCTATTTCTTTTCTTGATTTGTAGAGAAAAAAAATACTTTGTGAGATTTTCTTTAGGCTGGAGCCAATTTTCAAAATAACAAAATAGTTTTAGAAAGTGTGTTCAGCTTGTTGGGTAAAATACATAAGAGATAGTTTGCCTGACATGTTTATGCTATGGGAGTTTCAGTTAGACTCAAAGTTTAGTGGAGTGAAATAAAACTATTGTTGTTTTTTGAAGATGACTCCAAATAAATCTCAAAAGTAGACTGCAAAAGAAGGGGTGCATAGATATATGTAATCTATTAAGTCAGCCTATGTTACCATGTTAATTAATTAATTAATTTACATCCCTTTTTTTCCCACCAAACTTAATTCTCTCCCTACCATACTTATTTGGAAAAAAAGAATTACAAAATAATGTTTAATCAGTTTTCTGCCATCCATTACTAGCAGGAATTTTTCCTTTTTCCTTAAATGTTTTTTTATAGTTAAAGGAAAATAACATCGATAAAGGTGTAATAATCTAAATTAATATAGACTCTTAGACTTAATTAAAGAGTCTATTTTATTTTCAAAGCTGATTGGCCTTTCTGTGAAGTATTTTTTATAAAGTTGTACTTCACTTTGCCTTTCCTAAACAAAGTAAGGGCATAATGAAAGGAACATAACGAGTGTCAAGGCTCATCTCCCAGCTCTGCCGAAGGAACAAAGAACCGAGAACACAGCTGTTTCTTTGCTCTCTTTCCTGTTGTCTTCACATTCTTTTCTCTTGTTTTCAAAGACTTAATTTTCTCAAGACTAACATTTTCAGAGCAGTGTTAGAATCACAAAAAAATTGAGAAGCAGGCATAGAGATTGCCCACGCACAACCTTTGTACAACACGTGCCATTGCCACCAGCTTCACATCACCCTGCATCAGAGGTTCACTTGTTAAAACTGGAGAATCTGAATAACACATCATCACCAAGTCCATAATTTATATTGGGTTCACTCTTGGTGTTGTCCATTCTGAGTTTGGAAAAGTGTGCAGTGACATATTTTCACCATTGTAGTATCATTCAGAAAAGCTTATAAAGCTGCCTTAAACATGGCCTTTGTGCCACCTGTGCCTTCTCACGCCCTCCCATCGCTAATCCTTGCCACCACTAATCCTTTTATTGTCTTCATAGTTCTGCCTTTTCCAAAATAGCATGTACTGAAAATTTTATAGCATGTAGCTTTTCCAGACTGGCTTCTTTCATTTACTGATCTGTATTTAAGGTACTCCAAGTCTTTCCATGGCTTGATAACTCATTGCCTTTCCATTAAACTTTGAATAATAGGCCATTGTCTGCAGGAACCAGTATTTATCCATTCACTATTGAAGGACAGTTTCCTTGCTTCCAAGTTTCAGTTATAAATAAAACTTGTACACATTTGTGAGTGCAAGTTTTTATGTGGACATAAGTTTTCGACTCCTTTGAATAAATACCAGAGTGCAATTGCTGGGTTACTTGGTAAGATTATGTTTCATTTTGTAAGAAAGCTCCACCCAGTCTCCTAAAGTGGCTGTGCCATTTGCATTCCCTCTAGCCTTGAGCACTTCCTTTGTGCATGCTGGCCTCACTGAATGAGTCGTACCTGGACTAGCCTAATTAGGCTCAACATTGGTACAAGTTAAGCTGAATACTTTAGGGATTGAAAATGAATTCTAATTCTAATTGACTTTCCTAAATTGGCCAAACAGCAGGTGCCTCAGCATTCTTTCTCTGAGGTAGTCCATGAAAGCAATGAAATCCAGAGACTCCAAACAGAACCAGCTTTGTGTACCAGGGCTGCTTCTTCACTTTCTTTAACCTGAATCTTGGTCACCACCTGTTCTGACCCTGACTACCCCCAACAGCTTTCTCATATCTTGGTTTCTAGGGCTCCAGTTACTAGCTTGTCTTCACAATTCAGGGTAGCATGATTGTGAAGGGCGTGGGCTCGGGAACCACACTGTCCTGGATTGAGTCACAGCTCTGGTCCTACTATGCTGTGACTTTGGATAAGTCTTGAACTCATCATGCCACAGATTCCATTTCTGTATACCATGGGCCAAATGTATATGAGGCACTTGGAACAGTGTCTTCATGTAGTAAGAGCTTTATATGTGTTGGCATTGGCCAGTCTTTACTTTCATCATTGTTACTCTGAAGCTACTTGGGGCCTGAAGATCTCTCACTATTGTCTGCCATTTATAGCACTGATATTTATTTATTCTTTTGAAGCTATTACCTATTTCAGATGGATTCAGGTGTATTTACATGCACATCTGATTCAGATAAATGGACTTCTTTTTCATATGCTTTGTAGATGTTATCTAGCAAATTTCCCCTGAAAAAGTATGAGAAATTATGAGTTAACGTAAATGAGGAAAATTCTTAGGAAAGCATGGAAAGAATGAAAAAACTGTGAAATTGAAGGACAGGATAATTACACTGTGAAAGAGATGGGACTCATTTAGGTAAAGTTGAATTAAAGGTAATTACCCCAAAGAGTGTTTAAAGAATACTGAAGTGAAGGACTTTAGATTTATAAGATTGACTTTGGGTGAAAACAGTTATTTCACAAAGAACCACTGTCTGCTAAAGAGAACACAGTTTGATATTTGCACAAAATACTCTTACTATGACTTCTTTTAGTTTGCTCTAATGATTGATATTGTTACATGATATCATATTTAGGACTGCCTTTTCTTTGAGACTAGGAAGTAGTAGAATTCACTAATCCTCTGAGAATTTCAGATTTCAGGGTGTGTCTTAGGGTTGATTTCTTCAAGTGAGTTCAAACACACACCTTTTTCCTGTTACTGAATAGAATCAAATAGTGGAAAAGGCAATTACAGAGACTCCCGTTATTATAGGGACCTGCTGTCATTGTATGTCCTTGGCATATTTCCCAATAACAAAGTATCATAATGAAGAATAAAATCAGAAGCACTCACTTTTCCAAGGAGATGATTGATGGTCCTCCCCCATTCCACCCTACTTACAGATGTCCATAGCAAGGAAACAAAGCCCCAGAAAGCCAGGTAACTGGAGTGGTGGTAAAGGGTTGATGAGGAGTAAGGAGAGGCTGAGGAGTAAAAATGACTTCCACCAGGACACAGCCTTTTTGCCAGCCCAGTGCCACTTTCACAACCGTTTACATCCACCAAACACCTTTGCAAGCCACCTTCCTTCCAAGTTGTTTTCATGTGCTAACACGTTTAATTCTCAAAGCAGTCTTTTCAAATAGATGCCATTTTGATCTCCCCAAAAGGCATAGAGAAGTTGTCAATCTTGACCTAACTCAGTAGCTCTGAATCTGGTAAAGCATGTGGATTTACCATACCCCTTCCAGTAAAAGTGATAAGTATTAGGAGATATGGAAAACAATATGGAGGGTCCTCACAAAATTAAAATTAGAAATAGAACTGCTGTGTGATCCATCTGCTCCACTTCTGAGAATACAGACAAGCACTAACTTGAAAAGCATTATTTGTAAATAATGTAACATTATTTGTAATACCCAAGAAACACCCTAAATGTCCACCGATCAATGAAGGGATAAAGAAGTTGTGTTCTTTTACATACACACACATTGAAATGTCACTAAGCCACAAAAAAGGAAACCCTGTCATTTGCAACAACATGGAAGGAGTGAAGGCATTATGCTACATGAGTAAGCCAGACCACAGTAATCTGTGATCTCACTACTGTATGGAATCGGATTTTAAAATAATCAAAGAAATTCATAATAAAAAAGAATGTGTTGAATTGCAGGAAGATGGTCTCTTCAAACTTATATTACATATAAGTTCAATATGTAATGTCCAACATGGTGTCTTAACTGTTGGATGATATAAATGAAAGTTGCTAAGAGTAAATCATTTTACTAAGATTTCTCACCATAAGAAAAAATAATTTTTCCCCTGGTTTCTCTTTTTGTTATGGATATGAGGTAATGGATGATAACTTGATCTTACTGTAGAAATCATTTCATAATATGTGGAAGGCAATCCACTATGCTTGAATCTTTAAACTTATACAGTGATGCAGTTCAATTATATTGCTAAAACGGAAAACAAAAACTTACTATGAAATGAAACTTGATAATAATACAGGTGAATTGTATTAAGATGTATTAGAATCCACAATGTTGGATAAATATTGAAACATAACCTTGAAAAAAAATTAGGGTGCTGTTTAATATTTAATTTGATTCTTTTTTTTGGCCCAAATAAAATAAAATTCTGTCACAAAATGGTAAATAAACAGATAGATAAGCAGATATTTGCTACTAATATCCTCAACTTTTTAATCTCCTTTTTAAATATACTCTTCTTGTGATTTTTATGACTAAGGGAAGAAGTTTGCCATTCATAGAATAAAAAAACATTTTTCACTATATATCTTATGGTGTTTTACAAATGACTTGATTCATTTAACTTAAGTTTTTTCCCCATTGGTTGACTAATATTGTTCTTTCAGTGACTTCAGATGAAAGCAATAAAACTTGGGGTAGGAACATGGTCTGTCGACAAGAAGAATTTGAAGACGTGAAAAGGAATTTCAAGAAAAAAGGTTGTACTTGGGGGCCAAATTCTATTCAAATGAAAGAGCGAGCTGACTGCAAAGAAAGGTATGTCATGGGATGGAGGTAGGGGAAGGGTGTTCCCAATGTGATCCTGGCTCAGCCAGTCATCTACAAAGCCGTTAGAATGGCATAGAGGTAGCTGAATGTTAATTTAGCTTCTGAGTTTATCATACTAAGTTAATTATTATTTAGTCAAGCAGTTTTAAAAAAAATTATCTGATAGATTCTGTTTCATTGTAAGGTTTTATTTGTGCTTGTTGGCTTCTCAGAACACCCAGTACAGATGTGTTCTACCTCACTGCCTTGGGAATGTCAGTGGTGTGTGGCCAAAGCTTAGTTTGTGTGTTGTGTGTTTATATTGTATCAAAATAAACATCTTTCTCTTGTAGAATAAGACCTCTCTCAGATGGCAACAGTCCTTGGTCAACTCTCTTAATAAAAAATCAGAAAGCCATGCCATTGGCTTCATTATTTGTGGACCAACCAGGTAAATGTGCTTCAGGAAATAGAATTGTTTGAATTAGACTTGGCACCTGAGTGTTTCACAAGCTTTCCATGCATAGGTTCTCATGGTCACTCAAATAGTATAGGGGAGGTTAACAGATTAGCATTACTTCTACCTTAAGTTCTATAGTTATTTCCTGTCCTCAGATCTGTGTGGTGGAAAGTCACTAGTTACATCACTGACTGGAAATTTGTAATTTAAAATTTATTTAACATAAGAAATTTGTATTTAAAATTTATTTAACATAAGGAATAGTAAGTTGAAAATATAGATACCCTGAAATTCTGCTAAGATAAGAGGTGTTCTTCCACTATACCCCCATTTCTTCACATGATGAAATCATGGCCAGCAAGTTAGCTGTGAAAAGCTACTCAGAAAATAATATTGGGATCACTGTTCAAGTGATTTTCAGTATCTCTGTTTTGTACTGATAGAAGGTGAAAATGGTATGGAAATTCTTTAAAAACTTAAATATTGTTATCACCAAAGAAAATGGGTCTTTATAGTATTTGACAGTTTAAAAAAAAATGTTTTGTGACTGTCACCGAATTAAAGCTGTTTAGGCAAAATGAGGTATAAAGTTTTTGAATTTATTTTCAATGTGATCTGATGATAAATTTTATAAGCACTTTACAACTCACTACCAATGTTCAGTTTCATCAGTATCATGATAATGTGTTCTCACTAGAAATACATTTGAATTTACACAAGACAAGCACATTGTAATTCTTGTATAAGTGCTTTGTGTGGTCAGAGTCACTTCTCATCCTCTGGCCCTTGCCTAGAACAGCAAAAGAGTCTCTTCTACACTGTGATCTATTACCATAGTTTGAGGACTAATGAAGAACAATTAGTAGTAGTAAAGCTAGTATGCTCATAGATATTTTTCATTATTTGTCACTGTCCAGGGTTATTCAAAGAAGTCTTCCTGCCTCTTCTTCCCTTAATCCTTTTATTCTTTCTTTAAATATCTTTATCTTAATAATAATGCTTTCAAAAGACATTGGAACTAAAAGGAAAGGGTTGGCTGACTCTATGTCCATTAATGGGCAGCAGGTGTGCATCTGTCTGCCCTGTGCTGGGGTTTCCCTCCCATTGTTCCTCCCTAACATCCACTAGACCTAATTCCTCTAAGGCATTTATGGCCCACTGCAAAAATTCCTGAAAGCCTTTCCCCTAAGCCAGAATAGTATCTCACCCACCCTTCTATCCCATTTTGTTAATTTTTAATTCTTATTTGAAGTGCTTATTTGTCTATTTGGACACCTAGTTATCGTGTATGCATTCTGTCACCCCCAAACTTGAACGTCAGCCTCATGAAGGCAAGGATTAGTTTGCTTTGCCCATTGCTCTGTTCCCAAAGCCTGGAATATGTCAAATTTCCAATATATATTGGATGTCTAAGTGACTCCTAAAGGGACTATTTGATCTTGGGTTAATAACAATTATATTTACATTGGCTTGGGGCTTCAAGTGTATGTTGTTGCCCAGGAAGAGAACTGGGAACAGTATGAGCCCATGGTGACTGCAGGGTAAGTAAGGTGTGAGTCAGGCTGCTCAGTGAGAGTCCATGTCCCTCACGTTAGCAATGACTCATGTGAGGAATTAGTGACTAAAATCTGTAGATTTTTTTTTAAAGTGATGCATCGATAATGATCTTGTTACTTGTTATGTAGACTGTGCCTACTTGATGCAGGCACTATTCAGGGAAGCCCCTTCAGAAGATACAAAGAAAAACGTTTGGTCAGAAGCTTGCCGTTAGCACACACACACAGCTGACTGATTAACAGAAAGAAAAGAAAGCAACACAGGCTCCAGAGGAAGTCAGGTGTGTACGGGAAAGCAGCCAGTGGTTTCCTAGAGAGGGCAAGGCTGCTTTCTGAAAGAGCTTTCTGAGGGAAAGGTGATCTGGGTGTGCAGTGCTAGAAAGGAAGGAGTAAGGGGGTACAAGGAGAGGCATTGCTGCTGAGCACAGACCTGTTAGGAGAAGAGCTGGCATCCTGGCATGCCTAGATGATAGAACGCCTTGGAGATGTAGGACAGCTGAATTGCCCACAACTCCATTGCCTGTTGCCTTGAACCCCAGGTGGAAGAGTTTGTTGTTTTCATCACTCACTCGTAAGCTCCTCAGTGCTCCCCTTACAGTTTCTTCTTTGGCTCCTAGAATATGTTGCTCTTCTAACCATTTTGGATAATCTTCCTCCATGGTAGGGCTCTCAAACTTTGACAAAGTCCTGCTGAAACAGACTCAATTTCCAATTCCCCAGTCTGAATGGGCCAAGAATTCTTGGTTCTAATTTCCAGATGATGTAGGTGCTGCAGGTGCAGGCTGCACGCCGAGAAGCTGCTGATCAAGGCCTGACAATGCCATCCACCCAGGCGAGCCCTTCAGGATGGCCCGGGCCCTTTATCCAGGCAAGGAGGTGTGCACTCTGGCCTGACGTGTCCCCGGAGCCTGCGTGTGTGCATGTGCATGTTTGGATCTTGATGACATTATTTCTGCAGTAATTTCTGTCTTCCTTGCCAGCAAGAATCATTTCCTCCATGATAGGAAACAGCTGTGCTGTTACCCAAGGGGACTTTGGTTAGTGAGCAGGGTCCTGACGGCCCTTCTGGGGCTCCTCCCAGATGAAACACTTGTTGAGGTGGGGGAAAAAAAGGCAAAGTGTTTCATTTTGGATTATGTATTTACTAGGTTTTAGCTTTCTTTTACAGTGGAGCGAAAGTGATTCTGAAATGTTAGTACCATGTGTCTATTTCATCTTTTATCTAGGTGCTTGTGAAGAGTCAAAACTTGCCCCTGATGGATTAGAACACAGAAAACCAAAGCAAATAAAATTGCCAGGTCAAGCCTATGCTGATCTACCTCTTTGGAAAGACAGCCAGAGAGAGAATATGGGGGAACCTGAAAGCTGGGAGGAGGGGACCGCTGTGAGTCCTACTGCTGGCACTCCTCAGGTGTCCCCTATAAACAGTCTCAACAGACCTCCTCAGAGAAAAAAAATGGAGTCTGCTTTGTACGGCTGCACAATGCTGCTGGCATCAGTGGCGTTAGGCCTGGATATGAGAGAACTGAACAGAGCACAGGCCCCTGAGCAACAGTTGACCCGGGAAGAAAAGAGGAAGCGTGAGAGGATCTTCCAGCAGGCTCCCAAGTCCCGCAGCTGTGCCAGTGCCCCTAGGAGGGCATCTGCCGGCAGCGAAGGGGCCAGCAACCTCCCCTCCCTCCCTGCCTCCAGTGCTGTGAGCCTTCTGTCCATGCCCTCTCTTTCCACAAAGTGCTTGCTACAGACTGATGGTGAAGACTCATTCGAAGGCAGCAAGCACATCACTTGTGACCCCAAAATACCTGCTACAGAGTTTTGCCCTGCTGTCAGAGGACATAGTCATGAGCCAACCTCGGTGCCAAGACAGGAAAGTGATCTTAGTGTGTGGAAAAACCTGTCTTCTCCCTTCCTAGAGCAGACACGTGTGCCTTATTATGTCCCTTCTAAAGAAAGACCAGCATGTCACAGACGGACTAGGTCAGATGGAAATGCCTTCTGGACTCCAAGTAGGTTGCTTTCGTTGGGGGAAGTACTGAGCTTGGCTGTTGAGATTTGCCTGTCAAAATGTATAGCTGCCTGATTTTATCTTGTCCAGCTGATTACATTTGCAGCTTAATTTCACTTTCACATAAATCTTTGAATTTTACCCTATTTTATTTGACTTTATCACTTAGATTCTGTGGTAAAGCATAATTAAATTTCAGTGATGTAAATGCATTAAAGCAGAAAGAACAGGTAATAGAGATGTTTGAGATAGCCTCAAGCCTCACGTTGTAGAACACAGTTCATTAGCCCAAATCTGAAGCAGTAACTGGTTTCACCTTCCCACATACCTTGTTGTCTGTCACCCCTTCACTACTCAGTTTACATGAGACTGTTGAGCAGGTGTGAAATTCAAATGGTAAGCTAGCTTCTGGGTGCTTGGGAGGTGCACATTGTTTGGTAGGTGATGGTAACTGCAGTCACCTCATGGGCCTCCTGAGTAATAAGTGAGGTCATGTATATAAAATGTGCCTTTTAAGTTGTTAAATGGCTAAAGCTGTATTAAAACCTAAACTGCTATCATTCTCCTTATCTTTCCCTCACCTGCTTTACTATATTTAGATGTGACTTTTTTCAGGTTTATTGTTCATTGTTTCTGGATAATTTGGGTTATTATTTTGTTGTAATGCCTCAGAACATAAGTAATCTGTGATTCCACAAGGAGAAATCTTAGCACAGTAATCTTAAAAGAAACTTTTTTTTAAAATCTTAATTATGAGTTAGTAATTACTTGCTAGATTGGTAAAAAGAGATAATTAAAATGTAAAAAGTAACTGCTTTCTTATTTATAGTAATTTTTCCAAATTGTAATCTGACGTTGAAGCTTAATCATATTAATGATTAATTTTAAAAGTCTTATTTTATTCGAAACTAATCCATCTTGAAGTCTTCCCACAAACCAGTGACCCTAGGGTGTTGATTCATTGTCTACAGGAATATTTTCCTGGAAGCAGGAATATTTTCCTGGAAGCAGCTTTCCAATCATACTGTGCTTTTCATTAAAAAAATAAATATATTAGTAATTTTTTTAAAAAGCCTCAACAGTTCAAAAAGGCCTGCATTTTGATATTCGTTGATGTCCACTTTAAAGTAATTGCCTACTTTGTCATACTTGGTACCTTTCTTGATATTCATTGTTTTAGAAACCACCATCTAATTGCATTGCCTTTTGCTTTCTCAACTATAGCTGGTGCAACTGTTATCTCAGCTACTGGAGCCTCCGAACTTCCACCTGAGTGGGTTTTGGGGTTGCCCTCCTCTTCATCGAATCCCCTGAGGGCCCTAGCAGCCCCTATGCTAGCTTTTCCACCCAAAACAAAGACTCAGCCCACACGGGCTGACTCAGCCGTGGACAGGCCTGCACCAAACCCTGCCTGCACCCCTGGCGCCAAGGAGAGAACTAGAGCCCACGTGCACTCCTTGCTGGACACTGACGTGGAGGGCCAGAGCCAGGACTGCACGGTGCCCTTGTGCAGGATGAAGAGCAGGGCTGGCCACCCGTCCATCTATGACCTGGAGAAGGAATTTCTGTCTTAAGTGCCTTATGGTGTTCAAGCTTTTCTCCAAAAAGTGAACAAACTAAAGCAATGTGTCTCCCTTTGACTCTTTTCATGCTGCTGCTATGTTTTCAAAAATGGTGGCCGTGTCCTAAATTAGTAGTGAATGTTGATTTCCTTCAAAAAAAATGTATAAAATTTCTGTTAGTGTCTCTGGTTCGTTCCCACTGGATTCTTGCCTAGTACTTGAACACACAAGGGTAAAACAAGCTATGAGCCACAATGTAAAACTCCTGGGTAGCATTACCTAAGCACAGTTTTAATGCTTGGTTCTCATTTATATCCTGTCTCAGTGACGAGAAAGTGGAATGAGGGCGCTGTTTTGTTTCCTTCCCCCTCAATACCGGTCTTTCTTTCTTCCTTTTATTTTTGTTTACTTGTGCAACCCAAAGCCAAGAAAAATATGTGATATTAGTAAGTAGAGGTATCTATTAAAAAAAAAATTGATGACCAGAGACCTATTTAAACGACCTAAACTCAGCAGTAGTCTTCTGCATAAATGTCCAATTCTCAGCTAAATATGCAATATTTCTCTTTGAGGAAATTTTACAGAATGTAATTTGTAAATATTTTACTGAATGTAATTTATAACGTTTTATCCACTAGAATTTTGAAGTAGATCTTCAGAAGATAAGCAGTCTCTGATTTGGGGTTTTGACCTATTGTGCACACCTGAGAGGCCATCTGTAATTTCTTCTTCCGTTGCCACTTATTTGGTGTCCAGAAGTGTAAAAGTTTTTCATTTTTTAATTTCTAAGGCTTGTGACACATGCATTCTAAATACTCGAGACATTTAATTTTACTTTTCTCTATTTAAATGCATAATTATCTGAATAACTCCAAATACAGTTAGAGTAACACTACCAAGAGAAGAAACAGTGGTACTGTGAGAATTGAGGTATTTTGCAGTTATTTCACATTTAATTTAATTGTGAATAAATGTTAAACATCTGCTGAGATAAGTTGATGTGATGGAAAGGACACATACATTATAGATTATTTTCAGATATGAGTTTATAAAACATATTTTTAGATCCCAGATCAGGACTTTAAATGACTTAAAGAGAGGATTCCCTTGTGAATCATACATGTATGATACAGATAGACCACTGGGTTTTTCAGCTACAGAATGGTTATCCAGGACCTTGCTAAATTTCCCAGGTTTGTTGTTAAATATATGACATTACTCTTATGTCACTAGAACATGGTTATTCAGATGACAGACAATAGATGTTTAGATTTTCCATTCAATGAAAAATTAAATGATTAACATTACTTGATATTTTAAATTTTACATGAGTTAAAGTTCATCGAGCAGTTTACAACTGAATCAGGTGTGATAAAATATATATCTTCCTGTCATAGAAAATGAGGAAAATTATATTTGGCTATTTTACAACATCTAGTCTCCAAGTAGCCTCAACAGATAATGCAGAGCACATGGCTGGGTTCTACTAACATTTTGCCTTATGGAAACAATCTTGTATTTCATATTTCTTGCAGTAAAACTCAGGTATTTGTTACATTTTGTTGTATTATTGTTAATTCTATGATTTGATTTCATTTCGGGCTATCTGTTGAATTAGGTTTCCTCAAAATTTTATCACATTTGACACAATAGTTGCCTGATTCGTATTCATTAATTTTGGGGCATGTAACTTCCAGCTAAAAGTAAAAGAAGTACATGCCAAAAATAATACAAGGAAAAAGTATACATGTGTTCTCAGTTTTGCTTTGACCAAAACATTGCATGTGCATGTGTGTGCTTGTGTGTGTGTGAGTGTGGTGTGAGGGGCAGAGTGGTGGGTGTTTGTCTATCTTGTTCCTCTCTTCCTGCTCCTCTTTAGCTTTATTTTAATTAACTCTACATTATGAAAAATTTAGAATGAAGCTCTAATAAAGACAATTATGATATATTCTCACATATTACAGCAGGTAGTTTTTTTGCTGAGATCCATTGTACATTTGAGATTAGTATACTTAACCAAATCTGGTTATTTATTTTCATATAGATTTACGAGCACATTGAATGATAAATTAAGCTGAGTCAATAATTAAGGTGCTCCCACTGCAGATTTAAGGCTTGGACCTGATATGCTGTATCATGAAGCCTTGTGAGTGAAAAAGATGTTTACATATGTTGTCTATTTTTTTAATAAACTTTTTTTTATAGCTAGTCTATTTGCTCAGTGATTTTTGATCTACTCTGTGATTGTGACTATAGTTCGTAATGGCTTACTTTTTACTCAGTGAGGAAAAGTGCATTAATAAAGATTATTAATGTTTAGTAAGCCAGGTATTAACCTGCTAATTTCATTCACTAAATTTGTAAATGGATTAAATACTTTTTTAAAGCATAAAAAACTTAAAATATTTGCTATAATTTTTGCTTTGGAAAGTTGCATTTTATTGCAAGAAGTTTGCAATGCTTTTCATAAAGCATGTTTTTGCAATATGAAATGAGTATACGATTTAAATTTTAGTTGATGCAAAAGAAATGTGCTTGATAGGATATGCCATTTATTCACGTGTATAAGTCAGTAGAACTTTAAAGCCAACCCAGCACCTGTAATTCTTACTAAGTAATAAAAGTGAGATTGAATTAGAAAAGCAGATCATAGCATCCCATGTGGATTCATGTATGCCCCACAAAATCAGAGGGAGAGAAATTCAACATTCATTATGTGTCTATTAAATGTTAATAAGCCTCCTAGGTAGTATTTCTTTTTATACTACTTGTGAAATAGGTAGTCATATCTTCACTTAAGTAGGTGAGAAATAGACACGAAGAAATTTAGTGAATTTCCAAAGATCCAGCTTGTGCTTAGTCACTACTGGCTGTGAATACTACCTGTTCACACCTATAGTAACCATACACATAGCATAGAAGATGAAGACATCTGAAATGTGGATTTTGTGAAATGGAATCCAAAGCTAAGGTAGTTTTTCACTCATGAAACTCTAGAATTGTATGAGTGTTAAAAGCAAAGCTAACAGTGGTTTATTAGTGGATAACTGTCACGGTGAAAATAAAATGAAATGGAAAGTACTAAAACATAAATCTCTCATATGTCAACTCAGGAAAATGTAGTGTTCTGTTCAGTGGGCCCATAAATATGGTAAAATTACTTAAGAATTGCAAAATAAGGGTGAAATAATTGAGCTTAAGCTGTCTATTCTTCTGAAAGTTCAACATGCTAGAGCAGTGAATGGCAATGCTTTATTACTAAAATAGTATAATAGGTACCATGGTAAAACAAAAGTTAGCTGCTTTTTACAACAGAAGTAAATAGGTAAGTTGAATGTTGGAACTTCATATGCTGATACACTCTCTGAGTAGCTACTGGGATAATCTTTGGAAAGACAAAGGGATTCAGTGGTGAGCAAGAAACAGTGCCTTTGTACTTGGCCTGCAGTTCTTCAGATCTAGCAAGATTAAGAGTGAGAAACTACACAGGACCAGCTTTCTGAGCATGCAGCTTGAGTCAGTGAGCAGGGAGGTCCCTGAACTAAATTTTAATGCTTTGCTATCAACATCTTGAAATCCTTCAGTTGTGAACACGGCTCCATCATTTTGCTTTTGTTGTAAGCCTCTTAAATGATGCGCCCAAACCTGACAAAAGGAATGAATGTGACAACAGGTGAAGTAGCTGTGCTGTGAGCATTGGAAGAGCCAGTCTGTTGCGTGGAACGTAGGGAAAGCGCCTGAGAGCCAGGAGGACCTCCGAGTCTGAGAGGCTATGCCTGTGTTGCCTCTAGTCTGAGAGGCGATGCCTGTGTCGTCTCTAGTCACCCTGGGAAGTCCTTGAGTCATTTGTATCTTGCTGCTTTTCAGATTTTCTCTCTGTTTTTGGCTTTCGTCATTTTCACTCTGATGTATCTGGTGTGGATCTCTTTGCACAGACACAGTTTGGAGTTATTTAATTTCTTCACTATCTTTTCAGCAAATTTGGGTGTTCTAGCCTAATTACTCCAGATACTTTTTCTGCTCCTTTTATTCTCTGTGGTACTCATTACCTATGTGTTATGTACTCACTGTTGTTTTGTAGTTCTATTCACTTTTATTTATTCTTTATTTCTTCTCAGATTTTGTATATTGCTCTTCCTTTAGATATCATTTGACAGTTCAAATTTCTCAAGCCTCTGTTCTTCAGGCAGGACTAATTTGGAGACCAGTCTTTAAATAAGAGTCGATCTGACTCCAGATGGGCTCTTAGTAGCTATCTCTTTTCCTGATTATCTCTACTGAGGTAACTTGCCTATGGTTAGCTTGTTGCCGGTAGTCAAGAGGACCCATGGATTTTTGAGAGTGCTTTTAGACTTAAACTTCCCCTTACTCTGTTTCTAACAAAATATAACAAAAGTTGGGTATCTCTTTTTTGGGTAGGCAAAGTTGTAGGCTGGGTGGTGGAAAACTCTAGGGACACCCACTGGCAGATGAATTTTGAGATCAAGGTTGCAGTTGGAGAGAATTTCTGGACACATCTGAATTTTGGTAATAATTACAGAAGTTGAATAGTTCAGAGATAGAATAGAAAGAGAAGTACGCTGAAGAAAGTTCTCTGGGGGAGAGTGAAAAGTCAGAGGATGATGCAAACTGACTGACAACTAGTGTGAGCACAAAGGGCCTAGCGCAGGAAGTGGTGAATGTTCACATCACCGTCTTGAATATTTTCCATAATGCATCACAAGCTTTTCCTGATAGAGAACTGTCTTCTTTCAAAATCCCAAGGTCCGTCATATCAAAGGAATATAGTCCTGTGACCCAGAGCAGACCAGCTCTATACACATCCTCCAATTTCTTTTTTTCTAAAGTGCAAAGATAGAGCATAATGGCATACACCATATGTTTCCTTGTTCCTAAAAATATAGATTAGAGAACTAATATTTAATCATTATTTGACCTCGTGCTGATTCTCTTCCAGGCCCCAGCGGCTGTCCTGCCTCTTGCCAATCCCTGGGAGTATTGTTCTATGTATATCCACAGTGTTTATGCTTCCACTGTCAGTTCACCCTAGCACTATTTATTTTGTAGCAGATGCTTTTAAAATATATCCGTAGAGATAGTAAATCTATGCTCTTAACAAGGACCCAAGAGGTACATTTTATTACTCTGGATGTGAAAAAGTTAGAACACATCTACAAAACACCTTTCCCACCATTGTAAATGGTCTCTTAAGTTGTGAGGATTTGCATTCAGTAGATGGCTGAGATGTCTGAAACTCTAAAAGACATCTATGTAGCAGTTTAGGAAAAAATGGTTTGTGAGTTATGATCTATTTTAACAAAATACTGTAGTAAGTTGGAGGCACTTTAAACAAGTCAAGTTATTATTGAAACACCATACATTTATTCACATTTGTATATATTAATCTGAAGATGCA